GACTAAAGTGTTTCAAATTAGACTGATGGAAATGATGCCTAGTGGATGTTTAGGGTTTGTTTGTTTCGATGATATTTACCTGTATGCCGAGTGACTTTTCTGAGTATAGTGAGATCATACACATTTTTTAATATGGAAATCAGTAGTACACCATCATATCAGCTTTGAAAAATAACTTTCTTTTATGCATGGGGAATTCAGACTCCAAATCTGCACAAGTTATCTTTTTTACTTTGTTTAAGTTTCTCCCCGAGTTTTTGTCCTTGCTTTTCCTTCGTCTCTTCCTTTAAAATTTCAAACATTGACTCAATTTCTGGTTGCTTTCTCCTTTGAATTGTTTGTCTTATCCAGCCTTAACAGCCTAATCACACACTTCCATCAGCGGAGAGTGTGTGGACCTTTCACCCTCACCGTTATACTTGAATTTAACAATTTCCGTGTAATCTGAAAAGTTAACATGAGCCACCGTCCGGTATTTGTAGAGAATTTTGTATCCTCATCATAAGTGATTATGCTAGATTGATTTAAGTTTCATATGATGGAGTGGGAGTCTTGCATGCCAATTTCACTTGATCTTCTTGCAGAGGGAACTGCAACGAGAACTTGAGCAAGTTGAGTCTGGAGTTAGACCATCGAGGCGAGAATTTTCATCCACACACAGTAGGTAAATTTTGTTACCTATTACTTTTGTTTCACGATAAACTATAACTATGATTTTGGCATCTGACGACAAATTTCTGTGTTGAGAATGAGCATGCTATGTTAGGTTAATCTTTGGCTCTGACTCCTTCCAAACCCTGCCCCCTCCTTCGGTGGCCTCTCACCCTCTTCTTTTTTCTATTTTCAACTGCAACATTTGCTTTAGTTATTGCCGCTGGACAATAGGAATCGTCTCATCATCTCATGTCTAGTTTATGTGATTTAAGGATAAGGATAAATTGTCAAGACATAAATGGTTGGAAGCACTTGCCATGCACATTGAAGCTTTCTAAATTGGTCAAACTTGTCGTTTGGATGTCACATAAGATTACATGGTTTACCTTCTTTGGTCTAAGATGAGCATGTGATTTCTTTAATCTTCTGGCAGACAATTTTGTTTTTATGGACAATGAACATACTTCATTTTCCAATGGTTGAGTCAGTAGTTCTCTTCCTCTAAGGTTTATTTTTTTTTCTTTTTTTTGGTAGGAAAAGCTAGCCTTATGTATTATGCATCATTACAAAATAACAAGGTCCCTTCGGACTAAGGAGTTTGTACTGAAGTAGCCTCTAGCTTTTCTTGNGGGAATTCTCTAATCTTCTGCATAAATAATTTTGTATTATGAACTATGAACACACTAAATTTGACTGATAGTTGAACTAGCAATTCTTTTCTAGTGTTTGTTCCTCATGATTATTGGATTTTCTGCTTGTGGCAACTGATGTCACGGTCTCAACATCATGGTATATTCAGAGGCCGTTTATTGTAGATCTCACATCACAGCCACCAAAATGGTGGCAGTGGGAGTAAATGAATCATGTTTGTCCTATTCTGCTTTATCCTGGCAACAAAAAGGTTGCAACATCAAGCAGTAAAATATCCTGTTGCTTAGCAACAAAAAAAAAATTGCAACATCAAGCAGCAAGTAACTTGGTCTGTCTCTCAATCAGCATTAGGTGTCAATTGGGAATGCAGTTCCTGGCCGCACTATTGCATTAACTTTCGCATTTGACAAGTGATAAATACAGTGGTTCAGTGCAGCTGAATTTTGAAATCCAAGGAATCCTCTCTTGATGTGTTTTTCAATCTAATGCAGTAGGCCACGAGAAAGATACCGTGAAAGGGAAAATGGAAAAGCAGGTAATGAAGGGACCAAAACAAGCATGGGGATAACACAGCCCGAAACTGCAACGAGCTCATCAATGGTGGCCATGCCTACCCTGGTTCTATCAGGGGCTAGGCAATTCTCTGGCCAACTTCCAACTATTTTGCAATCACGTGACAGATCAGACGAATGTGGTAGCAGCTACGAAGAAAACTTTGATGGTAGTAAAGACTCGGGGGACACGGGAAGTATTGGGGATGCAGACTTAGTATCAGCACTTGAGGGACCGTCCATGGGCTTTGGGTCGTCTCAAAGGCATGGTTCCCGGGGGAGTAAGTCTAGGCAAATTGTGGAACGGAGAGAACGGGATGGCAGACGGGAAGGTAAATGGGAGAGAAAACATTAGGAAGTACCCACAAGATCAATGGCCATTGCCGACCAACTTTGACAGACTATACACTTCCTTGACAGGTAGTATTGTAGTAGTGCTATAGAATGGTTATTAATTTTTGGATAACCATTTATCAGCATTAGTAAAAATGTTGTTGTAGCCTTGTAGGTATAAATTATCTGTAGAGAGAGAGAAGCTCTAGGAAGACTGTAAAATCAGGACAATTTCCCTCATTGTAAAAGTGAACCTAAGTCCGTTATCTAAAATTAATTGTACCATGATCCATTGTAATGACGTGAGTTTTATGTTAAGATCCTATAAATCTCTCGCTTTCGCTCTTAGATTGTTTTGGTTACAGCCTAGTGTGTGTGTGTGTTCCTTATGTAAACATTCTTTCCTCACTTAACAATATATACTAGTAAATACCCTGTTGAAAGTTTCTTTATGGAGAGATAGGGGTGTCAATGGTTCGGTTCGGCCGGTTATTTTATAAAATTTGTACTATATCAATTTTTCGGTTATTCAATTATCTATAACTAAAATTAAACTTTTCGAAACTGTTCCAATCATGTCGGTTTCTGTTCGGTATCGGTGCGGTTTGGTTAGTTTTCAATATTTTTTTAAATATCATGTAAAATTCACCGCTAGAGGTAGAATGCAATAAGATACGTTCTTTTATGACTTGGCAAAACTCTCTAGACATTTTTACTTTTTAAAAGATGATAAATTAAAAAAAATATAAAATGGCTAGAGTATAGATCCATTAACTATTCTACAACAACGTAAAAGAAACCAAGCAAAGGCAAAGAAAATATAAATCACACCAGTGGAAAAATATTAACCAGGTTGGGACTCAAGAATAAAGTCTATAAAAGATTAAATATTCAAAAAGATAAATCTAAATTATATAAAAGGAAACATTTTCAATCCATTGTAGTTTGCTACTCATAATCGTTAGAATACTTTGTGTCTTGCTAATGAAGATACTTGAAATAACTTAGTTTAAGTAGAAGCACCATAATAGGTTTTAGGAATTAGCAGTTTGAGTTTAATTACTTGTTTGTTGGCTTGTAAGAGTTTTCATAATTCCAAGGCCCAAAGAAAAATTTAATGTTTTATTATTTTTAAACTTACTTAGGGATTTGCATCTATACCTAGTTTTTGGGTCACAATTTAACTTATACCCGCTTTACAAAAATAATTGCAAGTGTACCCACTTTTCGGGTAACTTTAGACATACGGGGCCTGAAGTAACAAGAATTTATGTCTGAAGTTTGAACTTCAGAATTTTTTGCCTGAAGTGTGACCTTATCAAAGTAAAACTTCAGATATTTTCGTCTGAAGTTTGGCCTGACTTGCAAAAGCAATCAAAAAAACTTCAGTTCGTAGTGTAAACTTCAGACAAATTAGTCTGAAATTCTTCAGTTTGTAGTGCAAACTTTAGACAAAATCAGCTTGTTATATTTGAACTTCAGATAATTTTTTGATAGTTGCAAACTTCAGACAAAATTTAACTTGGTAATGTTTGAAGTTTGGCCCTGCAGTCCCACACTTCAGTTGATGCTTCTTCGAGTTTTGACAATAAACTCTTATTTTATTATTTACGTACTTTGTGTTGGGGTACAAACTTCAGACAAATTAGTCTGAAGTTCTTCAGTTTGTAGTGCAAACTTCAAACAAAATCAGCTTGTTATATTTGAACTTCAGATAATTTTTCCCGGCATGATAGTTGCAAACTTCAGACAAAATTTAACCTGGTAATGTCTGAAGTTTGTCCCTGCAGTCCCAAACTTCAGTTGATGCTTCTTCGAGTTTTGACAATAAACTCTTGTTTTATTATTTACGTACTTTGTGTTGGGATGTATTAATGTTTGAGAGGAAGTGGCGAGTCTTTCTTTCTTCTTGATTTGTCGCTTTGTCCAATTTTCAGAAACGATAACATGTGTAACTTACAGGATAACATGTTTGAGAGAGAAAAGAAGAAGAAGAAGAGGAAAAGAAGAGGAGGAAGAAAGGAGCGCATAGGTCGCAGGATCTGAAGTTGTCAAAATTAGGGTATAGGTTAAATAATTTTACAAATATGGGTATAGGTTAAATGGGGGCGACCAAATAGGACGCCCCATGCAATTTTTACAAACTTACTTTATAAATATATTTTCCACATGTAAAATCTATTCGGTACGGCTTGAAATTTTTCGATTTATTTTTATAAAATAAAAAACTTATCCTAAATATCGGTGTGGTTATATATTTATAAAAAACCTACGGTTTCTTTAAATTAAAGAAACATATAAATCGGTTCGGCGCGGTACGGCTCGATTTCGAATATCCCTAGGAGAGATATAACACTATGGTACGGGCTAATAATGGAACGAGATTTTATTATTTTTCATCATTATTTTACCATGGATAATGATAATAAATAAATAGTAAAATGTTATTAGAATAGTGATAATCCTCTTTTAACCCACAGTTCTTATTCTTTGGAAAATTTCCCACATCTTTTGCCTTCGACAAAATCCTTTTAGATTTAGTTTTTGTAATTGAGTATGTGAATCTATTAGTATTTGTTAACGTGTAACAGTGAAACTTGAATCTAGAACTTCATCTTTCCTAATACTTTGTTGAAGTATGTGAATCGACTCATCTAAAAGAGCAAGTCAGTTTCCCAATCTGATCAACAATGTAAGCAAAGTAATTTTTTTGTCAAAAAACCCCAAAATTGTGATGCTGTTCTTTCAGAATTGATTCAGATGGCGAGACAGAATGGGTTCTGAGGGTGTCAGCCATTGGATGGCGTGGGGTCACTTGAACCAGTGTAAATATAGATTAAGTTGGTTACTACACAGCAAAAATCAAGTTGTTACAACAATCAGGAGAAATACAGGAATGGGCTTGGATATCAGTATATCTCCCATTATGTGTATACATACATCACCAGGAATGGCGAGTACTTCTCCGTAGCTTTCTGCGAAAAGGCCTGCATGCCTCGATGCTTAGATCAACTGCAGCAGCAAGCGCCATGAAAATGGCTGCATCTTCCACACAGGTGATGTGTCGCATGGCAAGTTGCACTAGGGGTTTGCTGCATTTCCCTTCCCCTTGCACTCGACAGCTCATGACAAAACCGCCTGCAACAGGACTTAGTGCTGCAAAGTCTCCGCTGCTTCTTGGACTGGGCAGTGGACTCACTGCTGCTTGTACCTGTCTGTCCGTGTCAATGTAGAACTCACCACCCTTCTCTGCACTGATCAAGATCTCAGACATGAGAAGATCACCACCACATTCCTGCCCCTCCGATAGAAGATGGAAGCGACAGTAAATGGAATCTCTGATCCCACGTTCACGCCATGCTTCAAGCTTTCCCCATGGCTGCCAACTTTCGGGCCTGCAAATATCAGGACGAACAATCAACCAAGCTCCTGGGTTGGATTTGGCCACCCAATCACAACCTGTTGATGGCACAAACGGAGTTGTTATGAAGGCTGCTGCAACAGCCGACCCAGAGAGATCGTGTATCTTCACCTTCCATCCCTTCCTCTCTCTTTTTTCTACCTCTAGTTCAGAACCGTCAAATGAACTTGACCAAAAATTATTTAATGGATCTACCGGAGATACCCTGTAAAGTTCAGCATAACACACAACTATTAGAATTAGAACTGAAGCAACTTAAAAGTTAAGAGTCCCGGAAAAAGTAGACCATAACAGTAGACCTTCAATTCTACTTATATGCTACTCATCCCTAGGAAAGGGTAAAAGAGCATAACAATGTTTTACCTGTCCTGACTAAACTCGCAACTGAAAATAGGTTGCTTGATGGTTCCCTGAAGCTGGACTATTTGAGGACTTAGTTTCGTCTTATCTTCAAACTGGAAAACATATCTTGGATCAGGGTCCAGCTTCACTCTCAAATGAAGCTCTGCTCCAGGTTTTCCAGTCTCCAGCTTGTTCTTGCCAATTCCTATCCAGCCATTAAACAGAATGGCTGGTTTTCCTTCACCCCACTCGGGACCTACTTCCAACTTAAATGTCCCAACTTGCTGCCTCTTAATACCAACACCACAGTGGCCACCTTTGCGTCCTGTGAATACAACTATCTCTAGACATGCATGTGGCGCATAAAAACAGCCAGGTGTCAGTAAAGCTTTCAAATCAGATTCTTCAAGATAAAAGCTGGATGCAACGTTGTGAATATCCGGGGTAGCTTCAGGTGAGGAAATATAGGGGACAGATGATGTCTGCACAGGGAAACCTCGAAGACGGATCTCGCACACACAGGGAGAAGAGATTGCACTTATCCCTGATTTTGTACTGTTCAAAGTAGTTGTTCCAGACAGTCTCAACCCCAGCGACCCTATTGACAGCCTAATGAAAGCCTGAGGATCCATTCTGGTCAAAACACCGCCATATGTTGTAGTATGCTTTGATCTCACTGTCTATTAATTAATCCTGTCAGTTCACAAATGATAGTCAGGCGAGGACATTTAAAGTAGTTAACAAAGCCAAACAGGAAAATCACAAATTTCACATTCTATTGCAGAAAATAGGTTTCCCTATTATTCACTCAAATAAATAAAAGAGCTTCCAGTTCAACCTTTTCTTAAGAAGGCTAATAAGATGAAATAATGCATAGAACCCTTTGATACGACCAGGCACCGCAAGATTTTAATTACAATCAAATAGGATGAAGAAATTTTCACAAAGAAAAGAGAAGGGCCACGCTTTCCACAAACTTGAGTTAATCCAGAGTTCAAACCATACACATCCAAATTGAAAAAACAAACTAAAACTCACCCTCATAACTACAAGGAAGAATAGAAAAGAATGAGCAGTTGCATTTCTTTATGATATCTCAATGAATAACACTGTGAAACATTTTACAACCAGCCGACTAATGAGGTCACAGATTTACTTGGCATATGCTGCAAATTTTAAAAGGAAAGTTTCGACAAACCCCACAATCGGCTATTTCAGATCCAGCATTATTAGGTGAACTTTTCAAAATAGTAAATAGAAGTTGAATGCAAAATGAGCAATATCAATCCCCTGTGGTTTGGGAAGTACCGTATTAACACTTAAATGTTTGGTAATCATCAAGCACATATATCTATTACACAAGCGATACTGTAATACAAACATTTCCTAAGGGATCAAGTCCACAATTTTTCAGCAGATACTACTTATCATACTTGTGCAATGTTAGAAGAAACAGACAGTGTGATCCTTTTAGAACTAGAGATATAGGACATCAACATCTCCATGAAATGTCGATGCGAATATATATGTCAACATAGTAAGTGTTTGTAAAAATGTTACATCCCTCTCAAAATTGCACCACTTCTTGAAGCTTTTTCACTATAATATGTAAAAGTGCCAGACTATTATAATCCGTGTGAATTGTATTATTCAGTTCCATCTTTGAGCTGTCTTCTTCTTCCATGAGGGTGAAACCGTTTTGCATAAGTGAATCATGCTGTTTTATGTGCTTCAATCAAGATTAAGAATAAATTGAAAGACATTTCCAGGTAAAATAGCTGAACAAGGCTCATAAAAAGCCTTTTCTTCATTAGAAAAAGTTTATTAAAGCTGTTCCAGAGCATGTACTGTAGTCCACCTTTGCCTTAAAACTCCTTTTCAACTTTTACACAAGCAATCATATCTAGGTTACAATTCAGAAAAACCATAGTCAATTCTATATAGCAATAAAAAGTTTGCCAATAACAATAGCAAATTCACTTGAGCTAGCATTTTGCTGAAAAACCAGCTAACTAATAGTATTACAAAAACCCTTTAAAGATACAATTTTTACCCATTAATTGTGCTTAACATGTTCAAACAAGAATTGTACAGTGAACACCAAGGTAAACCAACTTAACAATTACTCAAAGTTAAGACATAACCAAAGTCAAAACCACATAATACATGAAAACTAAACACCGGATTATAGATTAATACTGTAATAAGAGAAGAAAACAAACCAGAAGAACCCACCTTTATATTACTATGAAGCTTTATCTTCTTTTATAGCAAAACCAAAGCCACTTTTTGAGCTGCTACCACTCAAATCCTTCCAAAAGCCTGGCAAAATCCTCATAACTTTGTCATTCAAAAAAATTTCACTTTCAAAATCAATACCCAAAACTCCAAAATGAGTCTCTGTCTCTCTATCTCTCTCTTCTCTTAATTTAGTAGATCCCAATTATAAAGTGAATGATTCAAAGATAGGTGGATATATAGCAATGATTGAAGTAAACCCACCAAAACCCAAGAATTAGTATCATGTAGACTGTGCACAGATCACGAGAAGAGCCAACTTTTAAACATATATATCCTACTGTATTTTTTATATATGCATATGTGGAAACACTATTATGTGTATTTTATATCTAACAAGAAAGAGAGAGAAAAGTAAGGAGACATGGGGTTTTATTTATTTAGAACGAAACAGGCGGAAGGGTCTTAGCACATGCAACAAATAGTACTATAAAGTAAAAAATTAAGCTAAAAGATCAATTTCTTTTTGTTTTACCTAGTTAACATTTGAGTAGGAAAAATTTAATTAAACAGAGGCGATCCATTGCTATTGAAATTCAAACTTATATTGTAATTCGACTTATAGTTGGTTAGTCATTATGTTGTTTATAAAAAAAAGTAACTCTCATGAGTCGTGATGTAAGGACTTATTCATTATAGAGAGATTATAAATATTTTAATTTAATTTATATACATTGATAGTGTAATAACTTTTATCAGATTATTTCGAATTTAATTACGTATAACTATAGATATAAGTGAAACAAATACTGAGTAACATTTATACGTAGTAATTATGGTAGATATAAGTCAAAATCCTTTGTTTTTTTTCAAAAGAAACAATTGAGATTGGTGGGACCTATTTGTGCATTGTTTTCTAGTAATTTCTTTGTTTGCCCTGTAGGAAGTGGAGAAGAAGGGTTGGAAAATGACTAGAAATTTGGATACAGCTGTATCCAATCCTGTAGTTATAAATGAGAAAATCATTTTCAAGTACAGCTAAGTTGGTGGTGAAAGTGACTTCATTTCCTTAACCAACTAGTATTCATTTTTAATATTCTAAAGATAAGCTCAATATTGGGTGGAAAATGAAAATTTATATGATGAAGATACTATACGACGTATATCATTATTAAAATTTAAAAAATAAAAAAGAGATTCCGTCTTTTTCTAGCATTCGATAAAAATAGGCAAACCATATATCTTATTTGAAGAAAAATACGTAAAAGGTTAATAGCATATTTGGCCAAACTTTTAAAATCAACTTATTTTGAGAAGTGTTTTTCATAAAAAAGTACTATTTTTTAAATTTTAGGGGTAATAATTCATATTTCTCAAAATTTCAGCTATCCTACTATTCCATTATCCTCTACCATGTATATCCCGTACTATCGAAGCCTACAACACTTCTTTGTTTGCCCAAAAAAGTCCTTTGGTTCCTCTCTTACCACAAATAGTAGATTCAACGAGTCATCACCATCCTAAATATACCAGCTTTGGCATTTTTTTCCTTTAGCATGATTGATTGTCCAATTAACTTCTTGACTCTATCCATAGGTAATCTGTTGATGCCTTGCAAGTTTAGCAGTTTGGTCCATAATCCTGCAGAGAACTTGCAGCTGAAGAACAGATGTTCGGTGTTTGCATAGAGGACACTCTAAGTTTGTTACTACATCACACATCTGTTCTTCAGCTGCAAGTTCTCTGCAGGATTATGAACCAAACTGCTAAACTGGCAAGGCATCAACAGATTACCTATGGATAGAGTCAAGAAGTTAATTGGGTAATCAATCATGCTAAAGGTAAAAAATGTCAAAGCTGGTATATTTAGGATAGTGATGGATGGTTGAATCTACTATTTGTGGTAAGAGAGGAACCAAAGGACTTTTTTTGGGCAAACAAAGAAGTATTGTAGGCCTCGATAGTACGAGACATACATGGTAGAGGATAATGGAATAGTAGGATAGCTGGAATTTTGAGAAATATGAACTATTACCCCTAAAAGTTTAACTAAAACTTATAGTGAAAAAGGTTCAAGAGATTTTTGTTCTCACCCTTTTTTTTCCTCTCTTTTGCAAATTTATTTGTTTCCTGCCCGACGTTTATTACTTATTTTGCGACTCGATTAATCCAAAATCACATTGCGTAAGGCTTATTAAACTAGTAGACGTTCCCTACTAGGACTGTTTTCTATTTCAAGAGCTCAAATTCGAGATTTCTAGTTAAGAGTGAGAAAATCATATCTACCACACCACTAAATATTTGCTAATGAAAGTAGATATTAGGAGTTTTATGTGTTCTAAATTATAATTATTGTTATTTATATTTCTTATCTGTTTAGGTTCTTTGCTCATTATCCTTAATAGGCACCAAAATTATGTTTTAAATTATTGCTATCTTTTTTTGTGCAACATTCTTTTGTTCCCAATTTGGATGTCTAGTATACATGTCTAACAAATAAATTAAATCTTATTTGCACAAAAATTCTTAGACATTTTTTGAATGCAAAAATGTGATTTAAGAAAAAATAAATGTAGTATATGTAATCTTTTAAAGTACGACAAAGATTTTTATCTCACTCTAGAAATATAATTAAAAAGTGGATAACGTTCGTTAACAACTTATTGTTGTGAAAAGATATTATGAAGGGCAAGCATGAAGTCTGACATTGAATAGAAAAAAACAGAACTAATTAAAAAAAAAGGTAAAAAATAAAAAGCAGTATAAATCCTGAGTTTGAATCCCAATAACATTCACTCGTGACTTAAAGAAAGAAACAGAATAAATTATATGAAAATAAAAAAAATCAACTGGTCAAAGAAAAATATAAAAAATAGAATATATATGTTTTTCAAATGGGAAGAAAACTTATAAATTTTTTAAAAAAATACAAAAGACAGCTCATGAGCATGTGAAAGTAGCAGCGCATTGGGCCCCCCTTTAGCCTTTGCTGGAACGACTTCTATCCCAAACAAAAGCTCCTTTTAAAGAACTTTTTGGTCATTTTGATAGTATATTATAAGTTTAACATAGTAAAAGACAGACTATTATACAATTAGATTACCTGAAGAAATTAGGCAGTGGTGGATATAACTTTTGAAATATGATTCAACTAAAACTAATATTTTTGACATTGAACATAGTTATATGTGTGAAAAATAACAATATTTGATTTTAAACTCATAATTTCTAAAATTATAACAATTTTATTGCTTAGAATTTTAAAAGTCAAACCAGTAAAGTTTAAATCCTTATTCCACCTCTGATTATAGGTAAATCTTTATGACCAGGTAAAATAGTTACTTACTATAATATGTTGAACTATATTTTTGATATGTAAAATAATCTTCAAGCTATAAATATATATATATATAACTTACATCTTTTTGCTGTTTGTCTGTTCTCTTGGAAAGTGTTGGATTTCATTGCCTTGCCTTTCTTATTTTCTCGAGATCCAAACAAGAGTTTTTTGTGAAGATTTTTCCACGATTTTTGCCGGGATTTGATCAGCTAAATAATCTACTTAGTGGGTTAAGTGAATTTGGGAATTATTATTACTTGGAAATTTGGTAGTTTTATTAATTTTTGTGTTCATGTACCTTGGATTCTGTCTTTGTGTGGCCCCTCCATGTTCTTGGAAAACTTACGTATTTTCACATGTTAGGGTTTATCCTCACCATTCTCCAAATGGTTTATGTATAATTGTTTAAATAATTAAATTTCAGTCAATCTAGAGGGGAAATTCTTCCTCCCGTCTTACTTCACTTTTTAAAAGTTAATATATGACAATGTTAACCTGTCATACAATATGCACTGATCATAGAATTAGCAGATTGTTACGCTATTTTCGAACACAGTGCAACGACGAAGAATTATCTATAGATCAACTTAATTTAATGATATAAAAAATCTATACATTATTAGTACTTATAACTTAATATTTTAAACCATTTCCCTTTTCATTTTCAATGGGGTGGATAGAAAGTAGGAATAGAATGACATAGTTATGTTTTTTTTCCCCCTTCTTTAAGGGTTTACTTTTAAAGTATCAAGACGAAACTTGACAATTTTGGTATGTATTCTCTTAAAAATTAAAAGGATGATCTGGCTTTCAACTACCAAGAGAAAAAAACTATTATTGATACCAAGAAGACTATTTCAGCAAATGAAAGCCTGGCAGATATTAAGAAGCGAAGTTCACATTTGCATCAGCCAAAAGAGGGGAAAAAAGAAAAAAAACAATAACATGACAATATTTTCCAAGAAAATTATACACATATATATTGAGAGATTATTTGAGAATGAGAATATGTCAAAATAACTTGATGATGTTGACAAGCTTTTTTGAGGATTTTGTACTAGTGGATATTATCAACTTGGCATCCCCAGCCATGTTCTCATAGCAGATTATTTGTTTGGACTTGTCTATAATGGTCAAAATCAGATACCAACTACTTGATGAAAACAAGCTTTGAGATATAGGCTTATAGCCTCAAACATTGATCTGGAAGATGTGGAAGTTTGGTGAGAGGGAAATAATATATACCTCATAGAAAAAGATTATATGTATGTATATATGTTTCGAACGTATTAGACATCAAGATATAGATCAAAATTGCAGCTCATAATAATTAATGCCAGCCACGTTTTTTATTGAAGAAGGAAATTTTTTTATTGCCGTACACAACAAGTAACTATTCATAACAAGTCCGATATAGTATTCCAAAAAGAATGGTAAACGATATGTTATTCATAAAGCTCGATATTTATACCAAATCAATAAATATATGTGTACGAGTAAAATCGGGGGTAGAATTGTCCCCGATTTCCTGATGAGAGAAGGAAGGGGAAGCACGGCTGACATGATTATAATTTATAATCGAGGCCAGGAACTCCTCGTATCGAGAACCAGGAAGAACGAACGATGTATTTGAGATCGGACACGGCAAGGAGACGTATCTCGGACCAAGCATGACTTATGGACTTCGGAGACGCGGTGAACGGTTATGCGTGACGGATAGGGGCCGTAATGTTCGCCCTCAACCGGATTTTACGGTGCGAATCTCATTCGGTATCAATTATAGATCAACAATTAACGAAAAAAATAGAATTTTGACCTTTTTTAGACTTGTACTAGGACTGAAATTCTCCTATTATATAAAGGGAATTTTTTTTCTTTTTTCTAACACAGGATAACACACAATTCAAAGCAATAAAAATTTACTTTTGTCTTCTAGTTGTTGTTCAAGGCATTACCCATTTGCTCTTTTCATCATTCGCGACCGAGCTTGTACCGAGAGTCCGATCGAGAACGAGTTCCACTGTTCAATCTAAGATCAAGCTTGGTCATCACATTGCGTTTGGTTTGATCGTTTATTTTGTATTTA